GCGTCGTTGCAACATTGTGGGGAGGATATCGTGCAAAAAAATTAAAGAACTATTGAATGTTGCACTTCAGGGAAATAGTCTTCATGACAAGGAAGATGTCGCGAAGCTGCTATCGTTATATATTTGTGCGAAACTGTTTTTTACAATGACCGGAGAGTCTATCGGGTGGGCGTTCGTCCGAGTTATTGACAAACTAAGTACGATACAGTTGTATGATTGGGCTGCTGCAATACGAGGCGTGTTAATTGCATCACTGAACGATTTTCATGATAGGCCGGAAAGGGTAACCGGATGTGTTGTCGTATTACTCGTAAGTGTTATTTTTTGTAATGTACTATTTATATAGGAACTGGCATGTTTGGATTTGTTTGTTAGCATGTAATGTTGATGAATGTGTTTGCGAATGTCCAGCAGTTTTTTATTTGTGAACACACTAACCTGATCGAGGCAGAACGGCACAGTGTGCTGCCAAGGTTTTGCAGATGGAATATTGCGAATTTGACGACGAAAATGAAATGGGTCGACTTGGGTAGCGGAAGACGGTTTGAGGTATGACATGGGAGGCTGAGTTATATGGTTTTAGTGGGTGGTGCGTGTTGGAGTCGCTAACAATTTTGTAATGTGTTTTGGCAGGTAAGGTACGGTAAACTGAAGGCCGTAATTCTTGAACGGTACAAAATAGGTACGACATTGTTAAGTGGTGAATGTATGAGGGCAGAAGGCAAAGTGCTCGATGTACAGCCAGTGTCGGTGCATGTCGGTGTGCCACGTGACGTTGTCAATGCTGAAGTTGTAGAGCCAAGTTTGAACTGTTGGCAAATGAACTCATCTGCAGTGGTCCATGTTGAGAAAGGCAGAATGACTGACGAGGCAGACACATACGATGGAGACAGCAAGTGTGTTACGAAGCGTGGATTGAGGGCGGTTGTAGGAGGTGAAGGGTGGCCAGTATTGTTCCCAGATCTGCTGGATTTGTCAACTACGTAACCAGCTAAGGATGTAGATATAGCAGGAGGCAGTGGTAGCAATAAAAAAAAATGAAGCCCTTGACAGAGTAGCAGAGTTGGAGGAAGAATTGAGGCTGAAATCGGAACGTGTGCATGAACTTGAATGTAAGGTTACGAGCATGGATCGCGCACTTGGTTCACAAGCTGCGAATTTGTGTATGGGGTTCGAAACTGCCATCAGTGTAAAGGATGCCGAAATTGCACGTTTGAATGCCCTAGTGTCGGAGATGAAAACAACATTAGCACGTTTGGAGGACCAGGTTGATGAGTACGAGGCGCACGAGGTAACACAGCTGGTTAGGAACACAACTAAAAGTCATGGGACGTCGACAGACCAACAAGGTGGAAATCAAACGGATGGTCCGATGAATAACATGGGCAATGTCGTAGGCAACAGTTCCGAATTGAACAATGCAAGCGTAGTTGATGTTGATGTAGGTAATACCTTAGGTGGTGGACAGAACATAATAGTGGGGAGCAAGGATGGAGTTGTAAACCAGGGGTCGACATTATGTGCCGGGGTATGGACTCCAGTGGAGGTAAAAAGTAAATGCAATTCTGCTGGCACAGGTAATGCAGCAACATCAGAGAACAATTCGAACAGTAAACATGTTCTTGATCGGCCAGACAGTGAGGTGGTAGACAGGATAATAGACTTTGTGAATCTGGGGGAACCGAACATCACATCATTGGTGTGGCGTGTGAAGAGCAAAGCTAGGCGGGAGTGGAAGCTACAGGATTACGAGTATCCTGGGTTGGTGAAGCGTTGCAAACAGACAAATGATGAGGGCAACATAGCCAGAATCACAAATGAGGATGTACTTCACATTGAAGATGATGATGGAGAGCGTAAAACATGGGCTGGATTTGGAATGAAAAATCGGTATCCTGTTTGGAAATTGTTGGTTGAAGAAGAACAGAAACTGTTACAGGTGGTGTACACATTTGAAGGGGACGGGTAACGTACTAATTTCGTATTTTAGTTGTTCTGTTTTTATGTGACATTAAAAAATTACATTTGAATTGTACTTATGTGATTGTGATTTGGTGTAGGGCTGTCATATGGAGTGCAGCAGAGTATGGTGTGCACGTTAATTTCAAAGACATCCAGTCACTCGTACAAGGGGGGGCGACTGCCGGTAATGTAAATATGAGTGATATTGTCGATGTGAGAACGTCATCAGTGAAGCCATTTTGTTGGCTTAATTGTTTTTTTAAAAAAGGGTTAGGAGGATCGTTTTGTATGGCTAATGTGTTTGGAACATGTGAATAATTTGTGTTGGCAGGTTATTGACGCATATGCTGGAATTTTAAAAAGTGCACAGAACGTAGCGGTTGTTAATTGTGCTAATTTCAGCAAATCGTACTTCCACAGCAGTGTGTGTTCGGTATGTATATGGTATTATGAGTAGTGTCACGTTGTCGGATAGTGTGGATTTATTTTTTCCCCACAGCTGGGCAGTCAAGTTGTGGGTTTGTAATTGGTTTGCTTTTTTTTTGTAGGGTATGATGAGGAATCGAAGCATAACGTCGAAAGACAGTTACCTGAACGTGCACGTGACTGCTGTATCTGGATGCAGATACGTCCATTACCCTATATACCATGCGAATCATTGGACAACCATGGTGTACGATTCAGATTCGGGGACATGGACACACTACAATTCAATCAAAACACGTAAAGGAAGCCGAGATGATCATTTTGCTGAGGCGGTGAAAGTGGTAAGTACGAGTGAGTGGTTATTACATGTATGTGTTTGGTTGTGCGTGTGTTGCATATAGGGTGATAGGGTGCATGTAGTGTGACTGATTGGGTGTGTTACCTAACACAGAAACAGTGGGTCGTCGATTACGCAAAGCGGATACAAGGGAAAGTGCAAACCATTGCGGGTGTCACAGCGGAGAATATCGACGGGCCATTGGAGGCTTTGGGTGATTGTCCCCAAAAACAACCGGAATCGTAATTTTAAATTTGAACTCCAGCTTAAATTTGTTCCAGGTTCTGTTAAGTTATGTTTTTGGTTTGATCGTGTTGATTAAACTGTTAACTTATTTGTAATTGGCAGTCCGGATTGCGCTGTTATGGTATGCTTCATCATGTGGCAGTACACGAATAACGTGGAGGTCGAAGGTTCGATGGATGGGATGACAGCCACCGCGTTCAGAGCAGAAATGGTTAAGGCATTCTTCAACAATCCACATAGAGGGCTCCGGAATCGGCCTCTGCCCTGAAAGATTTGCTGGAACACATATATTAGCTTTGATTTCTGTTTTTGTTTTTTTTTGTTGAACATAGAAATGTCTTGTTCATATGGTACTGATTTTTTGATGTTCCATTAGCTGCGTGTCTGTGACTGGATAAACACAAAATACCTTACATCAACATTGAAAAACATGGGCAAAACTGGGAGTGTTTTTTTGGCTGGGTTAGTAAATGTTAATGATTTTTGGACGTGTCGTTTAATTGTGTTTGTGAATGATGTTAGTTACGGGTTTGACATATTGTAATGTGTAGGTGTGTATTGTGTTTATGTACGGGATGTTGTTAAACCCAGAAATTTACCAAGAGCAGGGTACATTCAAGTTGAAACGTTTGTTTTGGAAAATGTGTAAAATGTTTGTCCTAGGTTACTTCCGGGTTCGCAGCGTTGTCATTGTGTTTAGGTAGGGTGTTAGTGTTAAACGCAACAATTGAACTACAGGATGGGACATTGTAGTTGAAACGTTTGTGTTTGAAAATGTGTGTAATTGTCTGCTGTCAAAATTTATTTGGGAAACATGTTAATTGTTACCTTAATGCATAATACATTAAATTTATGTTTCTAACATATTCATGTATCAGAATTGGGTGTAGTAGAAAATGCACATCAGACAGCGTTGGTAGTGCTGAGGAAAGAAAATTGATTTGGATAATGTGGTTTTTGAAAATTTAATTGAAATGTTAAATGTAGTGGCAGGTGGTAGGGCAGAATACGTTTGTGAAAATGGGGTGAAATGTGAAAGTAAACCCACATGTGCGACCCATATGCAGTTATAACGTAATGGAAAACGTTGTGAAGTCTGAACTTAAATCAACGGAAAGTAAAATGTTGAATTAAAAAGACACATTGTTCGAAGTTCAATGAATTGGGAAAAATCGAAAAAAAAAACTGGAAATAAATTTGCTGTAACATGATCAAATAGGTTCCTTGCATGTTTTCCTATTGTGGTTGCCTATTTTCCCACACCGACCACAACGGATCCGTTGCACAACCTCGCCCTTTGATGGAATTCGTTTACGTTTTGGCCTGCCAGGCGGACGTTTCACCTTTGGGGGCGCTATCATAAAATCATTGGGCGAAAATGCCGGCTTCTTAACAGTTGGAATAAGGCAAATTGTTCTGCTGTACGAAGCTTGAAATTTGTCAATACGATAGTACGTTTCAATAGAATCGTATATATTCTGTCCACTATTACGGAAAGCGACAACAACATGAGAACACGGAAACCCATTCAGCTGCCACTGGAAACATGAACATGATCGCCTTGCCACATCAATCAAAACAGAGGGTTGACTATGCACCTCATAAACATTGTCATCAGCCTGACTAACACTCCACCCCGTGCTGTCATTATACGCCATTACCAATTTCTTCTCCATTTTTGGGAATAACACGCTGGTCCACTCCCTTGCCTTGACTCTACGCTCCGCCATTTGTTCCATTATTTGACCCCTAACCATGTCGACCAACCTAGTAATCGGAAGATGACGCGCCTCCCGTATCTAGTTGTTAAAAGATTCAGCTGCACTCGACCACATCTCACCGTAACGTTGCCCCCTGCAAGAGAATAATAACATTAAACACAAAGTTTTTAGTAAAACAACAAACTAGTAAGCATGTTAGCGTATGTAAGAAATTGGGAAAAAATGAACCCAGTAACGTAATACGTAGAACGGGTGCAATCAAGCTTACATGAAATATGCATTAGCCCAGTGGGATGGATGCAAGTCTTTCAAGAAGTTGTCAACCACAACGAGACAGCCGGGTTACACTCTTTCAACACCTCTATTTTCTGATTATAAGATGGTATTGTAAGGGCATAAGCACATTCTCGGAGCTTCCGCATCAACCCAACCTTACGAGATGCATTAACGTATTTCATTCGGTCTCTCAAATTCATTTGAAGATGTAGCAAACAAAATGCGTGATGTGCTGAAGGGAATAGAATTGGCATAGATTGTAAGAGCCCCGCGTGACGATCCGAAATGAACGTCAACGTACGATCGTCACCCACGACTTCTTTAAGATTCTGTAAAAACCATTCCCAATTTTGTTGATTTTCAGAATCAACAATTGCGAAGGCCACCGGAAACAAGCCTGCGAAGAGTACATATATATGTAATTGATTCATTAAAAACAATCGGAACTGAAATGTGACAAATTTTTCTGTTAGCAAAGAATTAAGCAAAAAAATTGATACGTCACCTTTATTGCCATCTTTCGCGGTAGCAGCTAACAAATTCCCCTTGAATCTGCCTTTCAGAAACGTGCCATCCAAAAAAAGTAACGGCCGACAATGGTTGAACCCATCTATACATGCATGGAAGGATATAAAATACCGAACGAACCTCCCAGTTTGTTGGTGAAATTCAAGGTTAATGTAACTGTTTGGGTTCTTTTCCATAACGGAATCACTATACCACCTAAGTTGGTCGAATGACATAGCATGATCTCCATAGACTTCACCTCTTGCTTTCTCAACCCTTAACCACGCCACTCGGTAACTAATATCCAAACCGTAGTCATTTTTCATATCGAAAACAATGTTCGTAAGACGCGTCAGTGGCTTAGCACGCACCCGATCTGCGACAACGCTTGAAACCAAATCGGACCCCGTACGTGGGTTTGTATGTGTTCGAATAGCAGCTCCACAATTGTGCACACTATCCAACTTCTTAACGCATAAAAGGCCATTCGATGACAACACCCTCGCATGCACTGACCACGCGCATCCTCTAGACTCTGCAAACTTACAAACCGCCGTAATGCGAACTGAATCATTCTTCAAATACTTGAATTGAAACCCACGTTCAACGGCATACTTGCATAATATTTCCCGAAATTCACTTATGCCACTGGCGAAACATTGTCCAACATGTGTAATCCCGAATGCCCACTGAGCAGACAGGAACGTCTTTGATTTGTTAGGACAATATGTTGGTAACATATCCGTCTGATCATCCATACTGAACGTTTGATTACCAAAATTGAACTTCTGACCTTCACGATAATACGCACCCTCGTAGTTACCGCTCACTGGAACGTCCCGGATCTGAATAAGAACATCAAAATGTTTCAGAGCAAATGACTCAGCAAAGGCACAACATGTTTTGGATATCGTCATCGCTATCAACCTTAAACTTGTTATACCCGAGGACATCCCATAACATGTACACAGCATCCCATACTAAGTCGTCGAACTTGCCACAAATATCATCGAGCAGCTGCGTGAATGTCATCGCTCGATGACACCGAACAACAACATTTGTTTGCCCGTAGGTGCACAACAACAACATACCATCCATACCTGTCACGCAACCCATAATCAAACCAGTAGATGGCTAACGCGTACAACAATGAATGAATAATAACAAAACACTGTACCCACTTCAGAAAAATACGTTACCCACTAAGCTATGCAACAAGGCCCACTGACATCAAAACACAAACAATATAAAAATCTTCACACCCACATAACATGAACAACACATTGTCCTGTATACATATAAAATGCCCACAAGCAGTTGAACGTAATGTTAATTGAGTCGATGTTGATAACACAACCATATATACTAATACTTACAACCACAAAACATAAACAACACAAGTACTGACTATATGTGAAACAATCACAATAATACGACAGTGATTTTACAGGAATCGACTTTGATGTTGATGTAGTTAATACCGCAACATGGAAGACATACAAAAAGACAAAAAAAGGGCAAAAAATTCGAGAAAACACGGAAACAAACCGGCCGATGTTGTTTATTGGAACGCTGTTACACCAAACTGTGAACCAAACGCATAACATCAACAAACAATGTGATGAATATATGTGACATAAGCACAAGAAAACAAACGTGATGTTATTTGTACCGACGTTGATAACACACCAATAAACACAAAAAATAACACCACATAACATCAACAACACAAATGTACTGCATATTTATGAACACAGTCACAAGAAACACAAAATTGATGTTACCAGAATCGGCTTGATGTTAATGTAGTTAATCCCGTAACATGCAACACATATACATTCAGAACAAAAATGCAGAAAATATCAGCAAACATGGAGAGAACCTATGTGCCAAAACCGTTCCATACACCCAACTGTGAACCACCCACAAAACATCAACGACCAATGTGATGAAAATATATATGAAACAGACAGAAGAACACAAACGTAATGTTACCAGAACCGACGTTGACGTTGATGTACTTCATACCATAACATGCAAGACATACACAATCACAAAAGAATGCAAAAAAAATCAAAAAACAGAGAGACAAACCTCTATGAAAAAATCGTTCGGCACAACAAACTCAAAACCAATACGACCAAACAATGAACATCAAACCCGTTTTCACCAAACCCTTGCTTTCATTAACATTATCAATCCCCCAAATCAAAAAAACCGACTTCCCACCAATTTAGGAAACAAACAGCCCACACAATGGGTACAATTGTAATTTACAAATAATCAAAATTAAGTAAACAACATTGCCAAAAAAAGAATGGGATTAAATGGTGCATAAGAAAACATTTAGGACTAAATGATTGAACTTTCCAGAAAGTAGGATTTATGGGTAAATTTTCCTTAAATTTTTTAGATTACTTAAATTATTTAAATATTTATGATTTAAATTATTTGAACATTTATTTTGAAAAAAAATTATTTCCTTTGTAGTATTTTCAATTAAAAAATTGATTAATGTTATTTTCTGTTAATAATAAAATTTTTTAATTGAATTTTAAAAAGAATTTGATTATTAGTGTTGATTAGAATTTTCAATAATGTGAAAGTAGTATGTTTTGTTATGAGTTATAACAATTTGAATTAAGTTTTGAAAACTTTTTCCAAAACTCATAACCAAACAAATTTTCTTACTTCACATGTCAAATCAGACTTTCAAAACTCAATTCCACACTCAATTCAACACTCTATTCAAAAATCATAACCAAACAAATTTTCTACACTCAAATCATAATTTCAAAACACACAAACTCAAAATACAACTCATATTCTCAAATCATAGTTAAAAAGTCTTACCAAACGGAGCCAAGTTTCAATATATTTTTTTATTTTTATGTATTTATTAATTTTTAAAAGTATTTTTTCACAAATATTTTATTTTTTAGATATATCTAAATAAGATGCATCTAAAAAAGTTAAAAAAATAAAATAAAAATTTAAAAATATTCACTAAAAGAAAATACAAAAAAAAATAATAATAATAATTTTTAACAGTACTGTGTTTAGCAAAACGAGTCCATTTTTCCAAAACGACACCGTTCTATTCCTTCCCCTTCTTACTAGATGACGTGGACATATTCAGGCCCTTAGATTGTCTGCCTACCACGTGTCCCAATCTCTTTCATATTGCTGGACAGAGCTGGATAGAAGAAGGCCGGAGAGAAGGCTGAGGTAGTGTTTGGGGAGAAGTTATTGGTGCTCCAATAGGATTGTGACTGGGGGATGGTTTAGGTTTATGAATTTATGTTGAGTGGTCATAAAGTATGTAAGGATATGTCAATAATGATAGGGATTTTTTTTTTTTTTTTTTTTGGGAAGGATTCCCACAATTCTTAGGATTTGTTTGTTTGGACGGGCTGAATAAGGGAGGATTGTAATCTATCGGATTATTAATCTTGGGATACATTATTCCCGGACTATTTAGTTAGACTGGATTTAAATCCTATGTTTGTTTAGTCATGGAATTAGATGTCTGCATTGGATTATTTTTAGTAAATTCAATGTTTGGTTGGAGGACTGGATAAGAATAAATATTTAAAAGACTATTTTACCCTTGTAATTTTTAATTTTTATTTAATATATAATTTTAAATTTGTAATCTATAATTTATAATTTAACAACACTAAAATCTTTTAATTTATAAGGCCATAATTTTTAATTTATTATTTTCAATTAAATTAAATTTATAATTTATATTTTTTATTTAATATATAATTTTAAATTAACAACACTAAAAAATAATTTTATTTAATATATAAATTTAATTTTTTAACAACACTAAAAAAATTATAAGGCCATAATTTTTAATTTATTATTTTTAATTAAATTTAATTTATAATTTATAATTTTTATTTAATACATAATTTTAAATTAACAATACTAAAAAAATAATTTATAAATGTTCAAAAGACTATTTTACTCTTTTTTAATTATTTATTAAGTAATAGTATGTGGGTAAAATGGACATTTCACACATTAATCCCATGTAATACCAATCCTGTGGAAATAATCTCACTCTCATCCCTAGGATACTATAATCCCTCATATGAGAGACTAATAGTCCGGAGGAACTATTAATCCGGAGCAAAAAAATTGAACCAAACACTGGACTATTAATCCGGATGGACTAATAGTCCAATCCCATGAAATAATCCCTCAAAACAAACACACTTGTAGACGCGCCTGTGGGCCTCACTACAGTTCGGACTCAATTTGTGTCACGGTTCTTAATCTGAACCAAAGAGTCCAAATCCAGCAAACCGTTTTGAGAAACAGATTTTTGAAAAAAGTAGTGCCAAACATGGACGGAGTTGGTTAGGCCTACAAGAAAAGATAAATAAATGTTGCTGTGGACGCGAGTGAACGTCCCGGGAAAATCCCGTTTCATTCATTTGGGCTTATCACAGTTCAGACTCAAATGTCACGGTTCTGAATCTAATCTCTTATTAGCCTAGAATTACTATGTTATGCGCACAGCAAACAAGTATAGACCAAATCGCCTAAATTGGAACAAAACATTGCATGTTCGTTTTGAAGATGGTTTGCTACTCGCAAGTAGGCTGAAATGTAGGTTTTGCCACCCTCAAGTGGGCTTTAGAAAAGATGATTTTGCCACTATCTAGTGGGCTTAAAACTCACAGTTTTAATGCGTTATCCCAATTTAGTTAATTTAACCTCCATCCATAGGCATTCAAGCAGTTATATCACATAAGCAGTTAGCCTCATGGTAATCATGCTATTATGGCAACACTCACACACACGTGGTATGCTAAAGCATAAATGCTTACCGAGTACTCCAAGCCAAAACGGAAGCTAGTTAGTAATCATATGCATGATCCTAGTTTAAGATGGCTAATGCAACACATGCGAAATGCAACTAGAAATGGGCTCGGCTATTCTAAACATGGCATGTGAAATGTTACAACTAACACGTATTCAATTTGGAATTGAAACACAATGCAGTTAGCATGATGTGCCGAGCCTGATGTATGCAAGACAAAAGTATGAATGCACGCATGCATAGCATAAGGTATGCTAATTTAAATATGCTCTAGTCTACCATCATAAGTGGGTAAATAAAAGGGAAGAAAGACGTGGGGTTGGAAGACATACACACACTCACGCACACTTATTACACAATTGCCCTCGCTCGGAGGGTCCAAATAAATATTACAGTCCAAATAAATAATATTAAATTAATTATTACAGAATTTCTAATTAATTAACAAATTAAACACAGAATTAAAGTGGCCACAGCCCCTACCTCGAAATGCGTGGATGATACATGCTTGACTCGTCTTGCCTGAAAATCCGTACCATGCCACTGTTGCCTCTATTTACACTGCCTTGCTCCCCCGAGGACTGCCAAAGTCTAAGGGTTTGCTCTTTGGATGCTGGGGGGTACCACCGACCAAGTAGAAATGCCACCGGCCTAATAGGATGATCACCGGCCGCCTTTTAACCTGTCGGCCATACATTTTTTTGCCGGTCGGCACCCAACACTGCCGGCCGGCCAATTTTTCCTGCTAAAACCTGCAACTGGCAGCAGCAGAGGGCAAGCAGTGTATGGCATGGGATTTTCAAACAAATGTGAGCATGGACACACCCCCTATCATGCAATGGACTCAAGGGAGCATGGCCCTCGACCCTCGGGCCATGAATCACGCATTTCAATGCATGATGGCCCAAAAGCCAAGCGTGCAACTTCGATATCAAATGAAATGCAAGCACAAAACACATCAAAGGGCCCCAACCCCTATCATGGTTGATCAAGAGGCAAGGGATGCATGCTCAATGAAATGCAACCTAGGCATGGAGGCTAAGTATGCAACATGAACATGCAAATGAGCAATGTATACTA